TATAAATTAATTAATTAATCAGATTAATTTTTTCGTATACTGGATCTGCTTAATATTTTATTACTACAATTCCTCACCCTGTAATAACTTACTAGAAATGACTGCTGCTGGACTTTCCGCTTATCCGGATCCCTATACAGGTTACCAGAAATCCTCCTGAGTTCGTTTCCCGAGCTGCTAACTAGCTTATACCAGACGAGTTGAAACTTTATTAAGAAGTTAATATTTGGAAGAGCAGTATCCCTTATTGAACTAGCTAAGTAAAGAAGCTAGGGTCACGTGCTTGCAATATAAACCAAGTAAAACATACTGAATTAACTACTGTTCTATAGTAATAAATAGCCTGTATATATAGCCCTGATTCCCCTAAGTTACATATACTAAACCCCTAAACCAGAAAGCCTTATACTAAATCATTTAACCTCAACTGAATTGATTTAGCCTCACAGGGCACATTATGCCCTGAATTAACCTTACAGGGTATAATTTACTTAGTAATAAGCCTATGGCTTAAGCCTATTAGTATATAGCTCCTAAGGCTCCGTTCCAGGGCTTACTAAGCCTATTAGGGGCCTCAGGCCCCTAATTTCAATAGTTTGGCCTGGGGCTATATATATACTATTATTATTAAGTATTATAATTAGTATTATTACTATAATTAGTATTATTACTATAATTAGTATTATTACTATAATTAGTATTATTACTATAATTAGTATTATTACTATAATTAGTATTATTTATTACTATAATTAGTTATTATTACTATAATTAGTATTATTACTATAATTAGTATTATTACTATAATTAGTAATTTTACTATAATTAGTATATTACTAATAATTAGTATTATTACTATAATTAGTATTATTACTATAATTAGTATTATTACTATAAATTAGTATTATTACTATAATTAGTATTATTACTATAATTAGTATTATTACTATAATTAGTATATTACTATAATTGTATTATTACTATAATTAGTATTATTACTATAATTAGTATTATTACTATAATTAGTATTATTACTATAATTATTATTACTATAATTAGTATTATTTACTATAATTAGTATTATTACTTATAATTAGTTATTATTATAGATTAGTAATTATTACTATAATTAGTATTATTACTATAATTAGTATTATTACTATAATTAGTATTATTACTATAATTAGTATTATTACTATAATTAGTATTATTTAAATCGATTTTATATTTATATACAAGCCATATTTCCAGAATATATTAGTATTATTATAGCTAGCTAAATTTAAAACCCTATATTATATATAAAAAGCAGAGATATTAATAATATTAAATCCTATAAGATTTATAATAATAATATTTCCTATTATACTCTCGTATTTTCGTATAATCTTAAATTAATAATTAATAAGCTTTCTTTTTTATAATACTATAATATATTTATTATTTCATATAATAGCTTTTACTAGTTAATTAAAGTTTTTATTATACTATTTAAGGAAGCTTTTAATTATTAAAGAGAAATATAATAATAATAATAGCTAATTTAATAAATATAAGTAAATTAATAAACCTGGGCTTTTTATTTTAATTTAATAGCTTTAATTATAATAACTCATTTTTTATATTAATATATTTCTTCTCAAATACCTAATAAAGCTTCTATAGACCGGGCTATATATTAGTTAATAAATCGGATAAATCCCATTTTTAAATTAGAATTCTTATGAATTTTTAAGATAATTTATTTATTCTAAAAATAAATACTATTAGGATATAGTATTTTTTTCTGCTAGTATATATAACTAGTATATATTATATATAAATAGCTATATTTTTTACTAGTATAAGCTATTTGGGAATAGCTATATATCTCTTATTAATATAGCTTATTTAGAGAATAATTATATTTTTTACTAGTATAGTTTATTTAGAAAATAACTATATTTCTTACTAGTATAGGCCATTTGGAAATAGCTATATTCTTTATTAAATAAAAGAATATATTTAGAAAGACTATTATTAGTTTATTAGTAATATATAATACTATTATATAATATATATAAAATACTAGTATATTAAAATTAATAAAGTTATTATTATTTAGAAATAAAAATTATAATATTATAATATTAATATATAAACCCTAAATCTATTAAGCTTAATAAGATCTAATTTATTAATTAAATTACGCCTATAATATAAGATTATATAACTAGTTATATAACTAGGAAATTCGTAATATAGCTATTCTAATAACTATATAAAAATTAGTAATAAAAAAAATAAAGAGACTATTTAATAAGTAATTAATTAAATATATAGGATCCTTATTAGTTAGTTCTTTTCTATTATTCAAATTTTCTTAAAAATACTATTATAAGTAATAGTATTTATTTTATCTTATAAATATTAAAATCTCGGTTTTTATAAAACAAAAAAAATACTACTACTAGCTATAGTATTTTTATTTACGGAATAAATAGTAGGTTTTATTATAATTTGAAATAACTTATTTATAATAAAATTACTCTTTAAATAGAAAATAAAAAGCTATTATTAGTATATTATATTATAATTTAATTAATTTAATTTATAAGAAAAATGCTTATTATTATTATACTAATTAATTAAAGGAGCTTTATAACCGGATATATACTTTACTCGAGTAATAAAGGATATATATACTAGCTATATTTGGGGTAAAGATATAATAGTATTTTTTTTATAATAATAATATTATATTTGTTTTTATTAAATAAAGTAATACTTAATATATCTACTAATTATATATAGTACTTTAGAATAGGAACTATTGTTCTGAACCTTTAAATATATCTTTCTTATTCTTTCTAAACTAATATTTTAATTACTTTATCTTTATTTTTCTTGAAATCTTTATAAAAGTAATCTTTTAAGAGCTATTTTATTTATATTAAAATCTCGATTATAGGTTTATAATACCTCTATTTCTTAGAAAAGAGGCTCTTAAATATCTGTAATAAAGTATAACTTTAAATAAAATTAGAATAATAGTATTATTTATTAACTAGATAAAATATTAGTTCTGGGAGTTCTAAAGCTTATTTCTTTACTAATATTAGAACCTTAATAGGCTAGGGGTACCCTATTTAGTATCTTTGGCGCTTTATAGTATATGGGATATAATTATATATAAGATATAATTATATATAAGATATATCTATATATAAAATATATCTATATATAAAATATATCTATATATAAAATATATCTATATATAAAATATATCTATATTTAAAGTATATTCTCTACTAATACTAGGAGCTTAGAAGACTAGGGGCACGGCATTCGGCGCCTTTGGCGCCTTATAGAAATATATATATCTTAAGTATAGGAAGTATATATATATACTTAAGGATATATTTCCTAAGTAATTACAAGTAAGAAATAGGGAGACATATATCGTGCTTATCTTTTATATATATACCAGGGGCTAAAGAATAGCCGAAAAATAAAGCCTTACTTTATAATAAAATTATAAAAATTAGCTTGCGAAGTGCAGGGAAAGGGGGCTAGAAGGGAATCTAATTCTCAATTATATAAGTACCTGTTCTAGGGTTTACCCAGAAAGGGTGTTTATATATTCTAATCAGAGTTGGTCTCCTGTTATTTCCTCTTTGGGCGTATACTCATGTTTTAGGAATGCTATGCGAGCAAAACAGGGATGTTGCAGGGATTGGCAGGGGCACACTGTTTTTGTATCTATTGTAACTGTACTATTCGTTACAAGGGACCGAAAGATGGCTTGGAAATCTTTGGCCAGGGCGATGGCCTTGTCGAATTTTACGACTTTATGGCCGGATTTAATGACCGAATCATCGAATTTATGGGAGGAGAACTGATGGCTAAGCCGGTGGAAAATCGGTTACCGAAGGCCTTAGTGTGGTACTATGGAGTAGACAGTTTAGTGGTTCGGAGGAAGCAGTGGAAGTGAAGGAAACTGCTGCTGGAAAGGCCGAAGAGGGAGTCGAAAAACCTTCTGTAGAAGGCTTCTTGATCTGGGTTGCGAGTGTCCGTTCTTTGTCCAGGTATACAAAGAATGGAGCACTGGTATGACACAGATACAAATACAGACAAAGTTGGGGGTGGAGGGGGGGTTAAGGCAAGGCTAATTGTTGCTGGACACACGGGAGATGTTACATAATCTGGGAATGGAGCACAAATCAACAAAAGAAACGGGAGAGAACATTTAAAGGGGAGGGACAATTAACCATTCTCTTAGAAGGGTGGCCCTTTAATCTCAATCTCGCATATGATTTCTTTTTGCGGCACCGCTAAAGGAAATTTAAGAACATCAGAAAACCTGACTTTCACTTCTTTGAGTAATCACTTGCATATATTAGCTTCTCAAATCGCTGAAAAGTTTATATTTGAAGCCCGTCTTGGAGTGCTTCAGCTTTAAGTTATGGTGCAGCTAATACAGAGGTTTCGCTTGTGCTCGAGCGGCTCCGTAAATAATTTAAATATAATCTTCTCTAAACATTTAACTTGTTCGTCACGCAAGCCTTTGTCAGTACCTGCATATTTTAATTATATTTCATCTGTGTCGGTAATTATTCGAATTCGAATACGTTTTTCCCTCAAACTTGTCAAGTGTTTAAAGTGAGGTTGGGCGATAAGAAAAGCTCTAGAATCCGTTAAGTACAGCTGGTTACAAGCTCAGCTCTGTGTATACATCTTTCATCTATAGCCTCATGTACATTTTTCTCACAGAATATGCCTTGGTATTTCAAGGACTCTATCTACGGAACAAGTGCTGGCGTGGGCAGCTTTCCTTACTTCGGATTTGTCGTTGGCGAACTAATTGCCTTTGTCGCTGTCGTTCTCATAAATGAATCCTATGTCAAAAAGCTTATGTTTAACAACAACGTTCCTGGACCGACATAGCGCTTATTACCCACCGTGGTGGGAGCTCCCATCTTCGCCGCTAGGTTTGTCCGGGTTGGTTGGACGGGACAAATAACATTCAATGGGTTGTCCCTACGCTGTCTAGTCTCTGCACTGGTTTCGGACTATTCCCCAAGTTTTTTTTGCAGCTGCTAAACTATATCGTTGACGCCTCCTTGATGTTTGCGGCTTCTGCAATTGCAGGCACCACTTTCATGCGGTCTCTGGCTATCAACCCCCTCTTCGCATGCTATATTTACGAGAGTATTGTGATCAATAATTGTCAAACTCTAGTTAGAACGATAGCTATAGTCTCGGTTCCTTCCCCATTCGTATTTAATTTTAATGGGAGGCAGATCCGAGCCCATAGCACTATTGCGCCGGTTCCGGATATTGAACAGGATAAAAAGAGAGACGAGGAAATGTGGATTGGTTGCGGTGGCGAGTTACAAACGGCATAGGAAGGCTAGAATGAGCACAAAAAAAGAGACCTCGAGTCTGAGCGGGAGGGGACATGGCTAGTGTTCCTAAATTACTTGATGATGAGTGTTGGTAAGGGCGGCCTCCACAGAGCACGAGGCCGCTAGGCAAGGCTAGTCCCCCTTTTTATTTTCGACCGACTCGCTTCGAGGCCCAACCTTGATTGAGACCATATAATACTGAGAATTTTTTATACATGAACTGGGGAGTCAATGGAGTCGGTGAAGGAGGACAAGACTCAATACCTGTACGCGGTGTCCTCTACGAACCTTCAGTACTGCTGTCGAGGCAGTATCTGGAGAGCCAAGATTGAGTCCTTTCGATCAATACGCGTCAACCTGCGAGCGACTTGGCGGACCGCTCCCTAATCGATACCATGATCAACAATACCAGAACCACGATCACGACTGCAATCCTTCGGCAAGACTGTAATTGCGATCACGACTATAATCGACGCGTTAGTGAGAACGCGAGCCCGATTCTCCTCCCTCGGCCGCTCGAGTCCACGATGCCAGACTCAAAGATTACGACTACGCAGTCACAACGCGTCCTTTTCCCGTCTCTCGCGCGTTTCTACGACTTTATATTCTTACGAGCGTATAATGGCATATAATACACTTCACAATAACTTGAGCATACGCGTCTTGCTTCCCTCGCGCGTTCCGGGCTCCATTTCCTCGATTTTACTATACGACAACCACGAGATCAGCCAAACGGCGAGGCCTATGGCTAATGACCCGGGAATCAGACCATATTAACGGCTGTCTGTAAAGCCAAGCTCTCTGCGAAGGAGTCTACCTGTCAGGATAATCGGGAATACATTTATCAGGGGCAAAGCCTGTGGCTTATATATATAGCATTTCTATTCGCATTTAGGCTTCTTCCATAAAAGCTCTATATTATACGAAACCAGAAACATAATACATACTTATGGCACAATTATAATCTCTTTTTACTTTACTTTATGCTTTACTAAGCTATAAGCTTACATACGACCACATTAGCCATACGGGCAGACGATATTATTATCAAGATATGTGGAGCAAGCCACAAACTTCGCAACGGGAACCGGGTTTATAGCCTAAGATTTCAAGATCTTTGAGAACTTCTTTAGCCTAGAAAGGGAGCGAGAGGGAACATGCAAGGAAAAGCGGTGTTTTAGTACCCTGCGGCGTACTATTACAGTCCTTAGGGGTTACATAGAGGGTCCTGAGGGCACTGAATGATTTAGACACATGCTTTATAGCCACTTCGGAGGCTCTGTATTCTATGACTAAATCAATCAATCAATCAATCATGGAGTCGGTGAAGGAGCCCGAATTACAGTGGTCATTCCATTTTAAAACTTTGTTGACTTGACTGCATGGCGCCAGGTTTGCACCACCTCAGCCGTCGGGTTCTTGCAACAGTGCAAGCAGCTGAGGGTTAAGCATTCTCTCTGTGCCAGCTGAGAATTACCAAGGACGACCATCTGCCATTCCCCGCATTACGAAAGTGCCAAAGAATTGTTTGCACGACCCATTGAGATTGAATGTAGTGCTTCGGTACCTTCAACCAAAGGAAACACAAGAAATAACGTGTGACGATCTCGGGAGCGAGCATAAGGCTGGTTGTGAAATTGAAATTCTTTAGCTAGTCAATCTCATATGATCATAGATTGGTTGGCATGGAACAAAACCACGCTCCTGTGTAATATTGCTCAAGTCAACCACGACACTCCACAGCCAACCACTGTTTAGCATTAAGGCTTTCCTTATCAGTAGAACTTTTACGTTTCATAGTTTTTAATTCTCTTGCACTTAATCAAACCGATTAAGTATTTTTTGGGTTATTTTAAACCATCGAAGTGGAGATGCAGAAGGTGATGCCTCAATGCTGAGACGGATATATTTACTTGGGATACTCCGCAGCTCATGGCAAAATGAGACCGACATATGACCATATCTGCAATCACCCGCTCTCTTTCTCTCATCTCCGATACACGAAATACTTCTAGTACCATTATGATATTTCTGTCGTGGGCGTGAAATCATGGAGCATGGTCCCATCGTGGTGCAAAGGTCGGTTCCTTGCATTTGTGTTTGCTTGGGCTTCTCAGTGTATGCCCGATTGAGGTCGAGTTATCCTCACATTATGGAAATATGTCCTTGGCGTTGGTGAAGAAGGAAGTATAAGACCTGAAGCATGTCTCCACCTTGGGACGAGCATCACCGAACTCAACCGAGTTAGAACTCATAAGTCCTTGACAACGAGTGAACCTTCTATTTCAAAACAAAAAGCAGACTTTCTTAAGCATAGGCACATATTCTCCCTAATGGTCAACCTCAAACAAATAGCCATCGCGGCGACCTGCTGGTCTGCAAACCGGATTGACATCTTCCGAGTTGGTTTCAACTCCGACCTTCAACGTAAGATCTACATTCCCCCTTCCTGTGTCACTCTGTGATGCCGAGAGTTTCTCCGAGCACATCGATACGCTTTCTCCATCTGCACCAATGCTTACTCAGACACAGACCTCTGGTACAATGGCGCCTTCTCAGGATGGGAATCCCTTGGTGGAACCCTAACCAGCGTCCCCACCGTCGCGTCCTGGGAACCCAATCGTCTTGACATTGTCGCAACAGGCACTAACTAGGCAGCATGGCACAAGTGGTGGGATGGTGCCAGCTGGAGCGGCTGGGAAAGCCTGGGCGGGACTTTCACCAGCGAGTTAGAAATCACCTCCTGGGCCCCCCGTCGTCTCGATTTCTTCGGTCGCGGAACAGACAATGCTCTTTATCACAAGTGGTGGAATGAAAACTCGTGGGGCGGGTATGAAAGTCTCGGTGGGATTCTGGTTGGTCCTGTCACTGCCGTTGATTGGGGCTTTAACCGCATGTAAGCACTCGTTTCAGCCTGACTTTCGAACCTGTGTTGCCGTTGAGATATCTTACACACCTACTTAACCTTAATTGTAGCGATATCTTTGGAGTCGGCACGAACAACCACTGCTATCACCGCTGGTGGGACGGCTCCTCCTGGGGGGGTTGGGAAGACCGTGGTGGCATCCTTGAGTCCGAAGTTATTACCACGAAATGGGGTGCCAATGACCTGTCCATCTTTGGCATTGGCACTGACAGCGCGATGTACTGGCAGCACTGGAACGGTGCTTCTTGGTCTGGCTGGGTCAGTCTCGGTGGTATCTTCACCAGCGTCCCTGCCGCGGTTTCCTTGGGAGCGGGACGAATTGATGTCTTTGGCATCGGCAGCAGTGGAGCTATGTACCATAAATATTACAATGGTGCGTGGTCAGGAACATGGGAAAATCTGGGAGGCATCTTTATTTCTGCACCAACAGTGGTGTCTGTAAGTCATCCTCCTGCTCCCACTTTCATGAGGACGAAAGTCGCTGAATTCTTCAGTGGGGCAATAGCCGTCTTGATATCTTTGGTGTTGGCACAGATAGTGCGGCTTACCACAAGTCGTGGGATGGCGTCCAGTGGTCTACGGGGTGGGCCAGGCTCGGGTGAGCTCCTGTACTCCCTCCTGCCCAGAATCGGCTCCGTAAGATCCAACGAAAACAGCTGGGAAAGGTGGGGAACGGCTTTTTCATCTTGCAGATAATCCTCTTTTACGCAGAAGGAAAGATAGAAACATCTGTTATTACATCTCTCAATGCCATTACAAGCTTTTGCGACGCGTCGGGGTTCAACTGAACTTACGAAAGCGCGCGGCATTGAAATCCGTCCAACTCGCTAAGCGAGGACGGGCACGATTTCAATGCTGCATTACAAAAATACTTATAATTCCGCCTTATATTATATTATTATAAAACTTTCGCCAAACTTAGATCTGCTTCCTTTTTATAATGTAAAGCACTTTTGAGGAATGTCGGGCGTTCTATTGAGATTTGGTGTGATTTTCTAAATGTAGCGATTTTGGTGTTCCTCGCATTTTGGCAGAGGACGATTTTCAACGCCGCGCGCTTTCGTGGAAGCGTCTGCGGTAGTAATTCTACACACAATACCCGTTCGTACCTTCCACAAGTTACCACTGGTGGTTCGTGAAAGCGACTGGGCCATACTAGCGACTGGGCCACCCGCAAATTTGGTGTTCCTCGCTAAATTTGTAGCACAGACCAGTATAGACGAGTTGGCTAGAAGTACCTCCCATACAAATTTACTATGTGAAATACTTGGCCCAGTCGCTAGTATGGCCCAGTCGCTAGTATGGCCCAGTCGCTAGTATGGCCCAGTCGCTAGTATGGCCCAGTCGCTAGTATGGCCCAGTCGCTTTCACGAACCACCAGTGGTAACTTGTGGAAGGTACGAACGGGTACGGGGAAAAGTAAAACGACATATCCTGGGCATTTACTAACAACCGGTATTTGTTACTTAAGCCCTTTAGAGACCTAAGTTAGATTTTTCAATATAATTATAAGCTAGTATAATATAAGGCTTAAGATATAATTACGTGCTTTTTAATATATAATAAAAAAATTCTCAAAATATAGTTTTAATTCAAAGAAATATATCTATTATTTTATTATAAAGTAAATTAAGTTTAAAGAAAAGGCTAGATTTTTGGTATTTTTATTCGAGCGCCTCTACTTCGGGTTAATAGGTTAGTCTAGCCCCTAATTAATACTACTAATTAATATAAAGGCCGCGGCCTTTATACCTCTGGCAGTATCATTTTACGTTTTCCCTAAAACACTTCAATAATTAGACACCGCTTCTAAAACAAGGCTTATTTTCTAAACTCCCAAGACAGATTCGGTCTAGTCTTAACTTAAACGTCCTTGTTACGTGGCACCAGTCACGTGGTGCCACTGCACGTGACTTAGCATATAGCCAGTGCTTTTAGCCCGGCACACAGCCTTCAGCTCAATTCAAGCTCTTTACCACCACTGCAATATCACCTTATCGTAACAGTCCTACTCATTGCGAGGATTCTTTTGTTATTATTGAGACCCTTCGAAACGATCCCGCATTGCTCTCAGGAATAGGGATAAATGAAAAACGTTTTTTATATAAAAAACCGGTTTGTATCATGTTTTATTGGTTTTATATTTTCACGTGATACTAAAACGTGACTTACTAGCCCAATTAGGCTAGCTTACAAAAAACTTCTCCCGGAGCAAACCGCGAAATCTGGTGTTTTCATTATTTTCTTCCTAATTGATTATATGCACGTGATTGCCATACAAATTAAAAACTATCGGAAATTATAAAAAACTGGCTTTTTATTACGAAAAAAATATAAAACAGCCGTGTTTTTTATTTTTCCGCATTCCTACTCAGGAACCCCATCTCAGCCCCCAGATCCTGCACACTTTCTCATTTCATTGGTCGTATGCTCGCTCTGGCGGTGAACCTACGCACAGAACATGTTCGGCTTGAAAAAGCAACGTGTCAGCTCCTGCACAAAATTGCCGAATAGAAAATGCCCCTTTATCAGATTAGGAAGCAACCCCGCCTCCTTCGCCAATTAGGCGAGCCCTGTCCGGCTGCCCGTGCTCGCTTACAACATGACAGACGCCACTGGTTTCCCCCATGCCGAACTCCGATGTCTCCGCCGTCGTACTCGTGTGAGGATACGGTGTAAAAAAACCCTACCCTGAAGTGGGTTTCTACGGAGGTAGCACGTTCGCCTCCACAAAACCTTGAATTCCAGCTGTCTTATTCGTTAGAGCCCCGTCTTGCGGCGGCTGTGGATCCTGACAAGGAATGGTTTTACAAGTATTTACCCAAGTCACTAATTAAATTTACACGTACAACGTCAAATCACTTGTAACAGTGGGTCTACGGGGCACAGACATTTTACCATTCACAGCCCCCGGTCAAGAGGGCCCACAATTACAAATATTGGGGGGGGGGGGGGGGAGGCACAGCACATGGTGCCCATAAGTATTCGCACAATTGTCCGTGTGGACAACTGTATTGACCCAACCACAATTCACACTGAGACTTCCAAGAGAAGTGATTGGCTAATAGCACAGTCCATGTGCGAACTTACTGTATGGCACCTCACTGTGTGAGGCATTTTCACACGTGCTAACCGGCCATCGATTACCAGGAGCAAGAACCCATGAGTTGGAATAGCTTCCCCGCATCCGCCCCTTTCCAGGTCGCCCACTCATAAACGCCAGGTCCGGGGCCCGAGCCATTTTTGGACATCTTGAAAAGTTTAAAATTGGTGGCATGTTGTTTCAGGGGGGCTATCCGTGTCATGCCGGCTCTAGAAGAAGATCATTGGCTCTGTTTCTCGGAGTAGGATGAGTGAAGACCGAGAGGGTGTAGGGCGAGAATGACATGCAGAGATATTGCTCCATAGATAGATTGATTCGACTATGCATGCAATACCGCCCGCTACGCCACGCTCCTCGTGCCATATGGCATCCGTGGACCACAATCAAATTTGATCCGTTATCAACCCAGGGTACCCCAGATTTTAGCCAAGCTGTCACTTTCCTACCCTAAATCGCCATGTACGTCTCTATACAAACCTTTGAAACATGGCCCACGCCCAACTATATCAATCCAGAAACGCGAGGAAACAGCGTAATATTCATCCACAGTATCCTATACACTCTCGTCGTTGTCGTTGTCGGACTTCGCATCTTCACGAGGACAAGGATTTCAAAATGTTTCGGTGCCGATGACACTTTTATTCTCATTGCCATGGTAAGCTAGAAACTTTCACACGTCACTGCATCTCTACCGCTCAAATCTTACTCTTTCCACTTCTAATTTTTTCAACAGCTACCAACAACAGCCTTCGTAGCCGTGATGCTCACAGCCCAGCTCAAATACGACTGGAACCGCCACGCCTGGGACGTTATCCCCGCGGTGGTAACTGTCGGAGGAAAGCTCGTCCTCATAACCCAGATCCTTTTCTCCGTGGCAAGCGCCTGTACCCGACTTTCCATGCTCTTTTTCACACGGCGAATTCTCGTAGCTGGCTACGACAAATTGCAGAAGATTCTTATATTCACGATGGTGGTTATGGGTGTAGATTGCTTGATCTTTGTTACGATTGCGGTTTTCCAGTGCAGGTGAGTGACTTACTTTTCTTATGTGATCTTGGGTGGGAAATGTGGTGCTAATGAGGGGAGGTAGACCGATATCAGCATACTGGACTCTATCATTCGTACCACAACATTGCATCAATGAGAACATCCACATCACGATCCACGGATCTCTCAATATACTCTTCGATTTTTGCGCCGTGCTCATCCCAATCCCCATAGTTCTGAGCCTGAACCTTCCTCTCAGGCAACGCATCATAGTTGCTCTGCTCTTCGGCATTGGATTTGTTGTCTGCTTGGCAGGCATCGTGAGAACGTACTACATGTATAAAGCTACAGCAGGTTATCGCGATGTTACGTGGGATGCATATCCTGCCTGGCTTGGAACTGCTGTGGAGCTATACCTCGGGATCGTAAGTCCCAACTTTCCCCAAACTCCTCCCCCAAATCTTGTCACTCAAAGGCTGATGAGAGGAAGTTCTGCGCTTCGGCACCACCGACGAAACCTTTCTTCGCTCGCTACATCCCAAAACTGCTCTTCGCGACTCGAAGCCAGAACTTTACATTCACCACAAGTCAGAACACTTTCACCCCAATTTGCAGTCTTTCACAGGGCGATCAGGAAGGGAGTGTGGGGCTGGAGTTCGACCATCTTTCTAGGAAAGAGAGTGAGATTCATAAGACCGTTGAGATTGAGGTTTCGCAGTCTAGGCTTGATACTTCGAGGACACCAGACACTTTTTCTACTGGCAGTATTGATAAGCCGATATGTTGAAGGTGAGCTGCTCAAGGTTAGAGGATCTCATTTGAATCAGGGAAGGGAGGGGTATCGGAGAAGTTCAGATTCACCTTTGATCAACCATCGTCATCAAGTTTGCTACAGAAGTCAACCTCAACCTCGACCTCTCGACATCTTCCATTGCCAACGCCAACACGAATCAACCTTCTCAACTTCAACAAGAACGTCGCGATCTCCCTCGAATCGGCTATTCGGCGTCGAAAATGTCGACTCGATCTCCCTACCGCATCGAGACATCAGGAGAACGTGATATTTTGACATCAGTCCCGCCAGAGATACTGGTAAAGATCATTGCCCTGATTCCGTCAAAGCACTACCTAGACCTAGTACACACAACCAAAGCTCTTCGAAACTTTATCAAGCTTAATGCTAGCAGTATATGCAACGAGGCAATCCGGTCCCGGTTTCCTGTCGAGGCAAAAGTTCTACAATCGGAGCCGGAAGCAGGATGGCTAGTCCCTACGCACGAGAAGGTCGCGGAGGAGGAGGAACGTTTTCGACAAAAACTTAATACAATCCGACCTTCCAATAACGAGCAAGGATTCAGTCTCCTGGGCAAATCACCCACAGAATCCACTGTTAGCATCAAGATTACTTCCCCTGGACCGCAATACCTTCACTTTCTGGAACACAACATACTTCAACTTTTCACGCAAGCCGAAATAGGCAAATACTCGCGGATTGCGGACAAGAGATGGCCCGCTACATATGTTTGGGTCAAGGAAATTCGTGAAGTGGTGGTAGATGGACGGAAACACTTCTTCGGTTTTCGCCATCACCCTTTCGGGGAATTGGCTGAGCCGTTTTCCTCTTTCATGCGCTCCTTCAATAAGCTGTTGGTAGAGGCCAAAAACGGAGAGCTCGTTCGTCGTGATTATGGCCGGACCAGGACCCGGTTCCCGAGAGAGCTGGTCTGGTTCTATGGTGTCGAAAGGTTGAGGATCGTAAAGGAAGGTGAGGTGGCGGACTGGAAGACTTTGCCAATCCTGCTGTGGCAATAGAGGGCTGTGCTCATTTTTCTGGCAGGGTGGCATATCTGAACGTGAAGAGGGTATGATAATGGTTCAGAAGTGGATATGGGAAGAACGAAGAAACCTTTGGGCATTGGGATACATACGGTTGTTGATGCACTTAGCGATATGGGAGCACTTACTTGGGAGCATGGTTCTTCATAGCGAAACAGGAACAATCAATTGGACATAGGAAATCGGAAGACTTAATTAATGTGGATTGCGCATTCACTCCAAATCCACACCAATAACTAACTTAACACGTGAACAAGTGATAAAATGACGTCGCTACACTGCTACGCACGACTCGTCGCCATATTCCTTTCCTCGACAACGCGATATCTATTTTCGACCCAACACCGCTTCAAAAACAAAACAAAAAACTACAAACACCACGAATCACCCAGTGCACCCCGAACAATGTTGCCACAATCTTCCTCGAGGGCAGGTACAGCTAAGTATTATTTCCCGACCACTCTCCCTCCAGAAGCTCTTCCACATATCATCGAGCAAGCACTGGCGAAATCGTACCTCGATCACGACCACACCTCCAGGTTTCCCCGCAATTTGATCAAGTTCAACGCCAACCGTATCTGCAACGAGGTGGTAAGTTCCTGCCTCCCCTTTGACGCTGCGATCTTGGGGATAAAATTGGAGGCGGGCTGGCTGGTTCCTCCACATGATCAGGTGACAGCAGAAGAGGTCAACTTTAGCGGGTCGCAGCGCCTCCTCGTAAACGGGGACAGGAAGTTCTTTAGCTTACTGCTCTAGTCACGAAAGGAGGGCGACGGTAGAGTCAGCTCGTTGCCGCCGGGTCTGTAGTATCTGCACTTCTTCAGAAAGGATTCTTCGAGACTGTGCCAAAGCAAGAGGTTGAGGGGCGGCCATGGCTGCGCGAAGTACCCAGCGGGCTTGTACTGGAAGGTGGAGAACACTTCTTTGTTGTCGGGGGGTTGACGCTTGGGGGTTGTGCAGCTTCATGGGCACATTCAATGAGCGGTAGCTGCGGGTTGAGGACAGAAAGTCGTTACCGCCCAGATGCAGTAGTGACCGGTTCCCAAGGGAGTTGCTTTGGTTTTATTGTATTGAGCGATTGCGAGTCGTTGAGAGGGGTTGGGGTATCAGTGAGGAGGAGTATGAGGATGAGGATGATTGGGAGAAATTGCCCACGTTGCTGTGAGAATAGAGAGCCGGGGATTTGATTTATTTGAAGCTGGGAGGGACATCCAAAAGTCAGGAGATGAGCCGCATCAGATGAATGTTTCTAGGGCAGCCGGGAAAGAATATATCAAAACAATTTGTTTTGGGACGACGGGTCGCTAGATTCAATTTGCAAGCCGCGGCAAAGAGAGCTCATGCAAAGGGACTCGGGATGATGCCTCTTCAGACCGCGACAAAGGATGTAAGAGAGAGGGCGTATACTGCTTCTTCGAAGTTCTCAGCAACACTGGCAATCTAATGTGAAGCTCCAACCGCCCAAGAACCCCCAATCCCAAGCAACCCTTTCTCGTCTAAGCTCTCCATGTACAACACCTCCCTCCAACCACCAACCTACCTTTAATCTCCCCGTGCCAACCTTCAAGCATCCAGCTCGCCTCACTCCTCCCACTCACCACCCCCTTAACATCATCCGAGGTATCTTACAAGCAGTCATCGAGCTATCCGTCAAATCGCAAGCACAGATAACACGCTTATATAGTTTGCAACTGACAAAAGTACACTCGTGACGCAAGCGTATAGTGCCGCATTGGTGATGGTGTGGTATCGGGTGGACGTTGAATGAGGGACAATGCTGCAGAGGCGTGGATGTGTTGTTGAGTTTGAGTTCTGATAAAAGTGTGTAGAAAGCTCGCACTTCCGCTATGTAGAGAGGGGAATGAAAACATGGGAGGAGAATATTAACCAATATTGCGGAAAAAATAGGATGACGATTGAAAACGAAAGGATTGCGAAAGGGTAGGAAACGGCTTCTAATCTAAATAGTAAGAGTTGTGTAACGGGGTAGGGTCGAGAAAGCAAATGCGGAAACGTGAAGCTTGTCACATATTTCAGCCCTTGAGGCAAACTACTTGCTCTTCAGGCCGGCAGGTAAGATGGAAGTTCTCTCTTTGTTTCTCAAGCTTCTGGAGGCACTGCGCGATTGTTCTAGAAAGAGTACCGAGTAAGTAAGAAATGGGGTAAAGAAGATGGAATGATTCTCAAACATCGTGCGTTCCGTTCTACACCGACTCTTCTGACGCCAGCGTCTATGATACACCTCCCTCTCTTGATTTTCACCCCTCAAGTGCTCGAAAGCCTCCCACTCTCAACTTTCCCAAACCCATGCATCTCCCCATAAACAGCCCTCTCACACGCCGTGATATAATTCCCAGCCCCTTCTTGAATACAGCCATGCATCCTCTACTCCTCTCTTTCTCATCCATCCCACCTTGCTCGTCCTTTCCCTCCTCAGGATCACTTCCAAGACCCTGTAGACCATAATACCAAAGCAACCCATCCTCCCACCTCTCACCAACCACCTTCTTCTGTTGGACCAGGAGCGCTTTCTCGTCGTTGCTGGGGTCCGAGGTGGAGGGAGATATTTCACCGAACATCATGCGTCTGGGGGTTGGCGACGCCGATGCTGGATTGCTTTGCCTTCCATCCACGACACGGTCTTCAACGACCTCGGCGACCTCGCTCACCTCAATCCTCTGTCTCTTCACCATCCTGTTCCGAAGAAGCTTCCTTCCGAGTTTCCTTCCCTGGTCGATGATGGGCGAGAAGCGAGGTGAGGGTGGCGTCGGATTTGATGTAGGGGACGGCAGGGAGGAAAGGACCTTCTCGGCGGACTCGAGGAAGCGACGCACGCAGTAGTTGCCGACCATAAACTCGAACATCGCTTCTTCCTTCTCCCTCTCCTGTCTTTCCCTCTCCCTATCTTCTTCCCCTTCCGCGTCCTGCTCAATCTCAGCATCCCCCTGATTCTCTCCATTTGAAGTGCTAGTCGGACTCGGCGCCGCCGTGCTATCCTGTGATCCCGCCGTCTCATTGGAGTTCGAGTTTGAGTTGGAGTTGGAGAAGGAAGACATCGAGTGCCGCGTGACGATCTCCCAACTATACTTCTCTAGAAAAATCAAGTACTGTGGTCCCGACCTGCTCAATTTCAAGCACGAGTCAATCTCTTTCTTGGCCTTGCAGCTCTGACTTCGTAACCCATTAAGGCAATTCAAGGCCCCAAGTCCATGGATCTCATCCAGCTCCGAAAGCGAGAGGTCGGTGCTCGAAGATGAGTGCAGCGCTTGTCGACACGGCGGGCATTTGCAGCCTGAGAAGAGGATCTTGTCGCGGACGAGGCGCCGCTCTTCGTTGAGGATTGCGGGGTGTGTTGGGATGAGCCAGCCGGTGGAGGAGTGTTGGGAGTGGAGGATGGTGGAGGCGAGGGGGTAGGTGGATTGGATGGCGGTGTTGCATATTGTTGCGGCGTGCGTGAGGAGGAAGGTGTGGATGTATTTTGAAGTGCGGGAGAGCGGGTAGAGGGTTGAGGGCGGAAGGTGGGAGAGGATTGCTAGGAGGAGCTCCGGGGGTGAGGTGGTGAGGTGGTCTTGGGGCGTGGTGGAGAGTGGTGTGTCCGTGGGATGGAGGGATATGGTAGGGGGTACCTGAGGGGTCGTTGGTTTGGGTGTGGGATGAGGAGGGTGAGGGAGGGACGTACTTTGGATAGAGGCATTTTGAATGAGTGACTGAGTGGCCGTGGAGGGTGACGCTACGAGAGATGAAGCTATGAATAGCGAGCCTCTGGAGGATTGGCAACTGGGGCCTCGTTGGCTGTTGATGAGGACTTGGGCGTGGACACGTGACTCGTATACCTTGTGATCAAAACAAACGCCCGACGAATGTCTTGAACGAAAACGAGTACAGTAACAAGCTTCCAATCAAGAACAAAAGTATACAAGAAAAGAAAGAATCAAGAAACTTCTGTATCGCAAACAAATTCGAGCCGAAAGAACGTATGCGAAAGAGTACAAAGTTACAAAATTCCTACTTCCCCAAATCCACAGGCCACGTCTTTAATACCACCCAACAACATGTCGCATGTTGATCATCAAGGAAGAATATGACTCTTCAACGCGTCCAGCGCGTCTGTCTTGGGCGGATAAAAACACGTGACGCGCACCCGCTATGAAAGGGTCGCTTGCGGTTTCACCACGAAAGGGGTGCCGATCTTGATTGGCGCGAGAGGAATGGGTGGTCGAGAAGGCATCAGAACTGACGCGAGCAGGACGCGAAATTCAGGTCGTGATTTTGGCCACTTGACCGACGGAGGATTTTGGGAAGAGCGACAGAGGGCGATTTGAAATGATGAGAGAGGCAGTGGGTTGTCAGGTGATGGATAATTTTCGGCCTCGTGATGGGTTTGGGTGATGACTGAGATTTCCCCAACCTCGTAAATTTTTGAAGTACCTTCGTGCCTGCGGCAGTTGCTTCAACGCGACGAAGCGTTCTATGATTCTATCGGTCAAACTTCCTATCGATGAGCTCGTGTTGGCAGAGATGGACTTCCACTCTCTCGGCATGACGACGGCATTTCCCAGTCTGCCAGATCAAGCTGCCTGACCCCGTTTTTCTGGTTTCGAGAAGATGAGACAGCAATGCGAGATCGAAATAAAGTTCGAGGAAAAGAAAGTTCTAGAGAACGGCGCAGCCTGCTCTTGGCCCACTGGGCTGTGGAGGCTCCATAGCGGTGGCTGATGAAGTTTGAAGGTGCCTTCTTCGTGGAATATTGTCATTGTTGGTTGGGTGGCCTGTCGGCACAACGGTACCTACCAACGGAGCTTTTGATCTTCTCTTCTCAGTGGAGGACTTCCAGAAGAAAGAAAGAAGGACGCAATCAAAACATTTCGTAAAACACCCAGTCCCAAAACGTACACTGTTGGAAGGATCACCATGGTGCACACCGGAAAAACAACAACTGTGTTGCATATGAATGGATGTTTCGTTTCAATACAGTCGGCCCGAAACAATAACAACAAAACGCTCTGCCTTTTAAGCCCATAATAACTTTTTTTTAAAACTATAACTTGAATTAATTAATACGAAGCAATTCAATTATAGAGCAGAATTAGGGGAATAAAATATATTAATCTGATCTTTAATAGAATTTATAGCTAATTAATAATTAACTTTTGAACTATATAAAATACGTAAATATTTTAAGAAAGTTATATGTATCTAAATAAAAGGCATATTAAACTTAGACTTATAAGGCCCCTTAAGCTTTTATAAACTTACTATATAGCAGTGAGAAACATCCAAGGAATAGGCCGGCAATCACCTGACCAAAGCCTTCAGCTGTTTCAAGTTTCATTTTCGCCGCCCTCTCATTCGCGCACAGTTTAGGGGAGCATTTATGCAGGCAATTTATTGCAGCCAGGCCCGGGAATAGCCGCCCCCACTGGACCACTGGGCCTCTCCAGACCTCCCCTCTTCCTCTTCTTCCATTTTCCCTTTTCAGACTGACGACGCAAGGACTTCAAGGAGGAGGGGGGACCTAGGGACCTCGCTGAAACGCTGATTGGCGTTTCGGCGGCGCAAGCCTCGGAATTTCCAGGCGAAAAGGCAGCAAGCTGGACCTAGGCCTGAAGTGGACTAACTCAGGCACGAGCTGACTGCACGGGCCAATGGCAGAGCGTGGAGCTTGAACTCATGTCAGGGGCAGCCCTGTCCTGACACTTTATCCGCCGCATACATCCAAGGCCAGGGGCCAGGGGCAGTTGCTCACCCTCGGGCACGCTCACTTCCTTCCTCTCCTCCTCCTGAGCTCCTGAGTGCTGAGTCCTCCCACGGCCAGAGGTCACGATCCGGGCCAGAGCCGGAGACAGCGCTCATCCCATCTCTCTGCAACGCCAACGCCAATAAATTTACCAACCCAATCCCAACGCCGTCGCCGTCGTCCTCATCCCCCCTCCCCTTCACACACCCGCCCCTCCACGGGAACCTTCACTCGTTTGCGAGACCAACAACACTGCCACTGCCACTGCCACTGCCACTGCCACTGCACCCCCATCTCCTCTCCTCACATCCTCACTCTCTCTGGATGCCCTCATCACAGTCGCTCTTTACTGCAAACATCATCGATCTTCGCCCCACCCGCATCGCGCATTGAGAAACCGACCCGCCGGCTCCGAGCGTCAATAGCCAACGCAACGTTGGTATCGTCTCGTCCCAATCCGACCGGCTGCGACAACTCGATCCCCCCCCCCCCCCCCCCCCCCCCCCCCCCCCCCCCCCCCCCCCCCCTCTGCAGCGATCAAACCGCGCGCGAGAAGACCAACACCAGCCGCCGCACCGCGATCGACCATACAATTCACTCCCAAACATTGTCGTCAGCTGCGAGCAGAAGAGCAGCCGAGGAAAATGCAACACAAGGCCCAACAATAGCAAGTCGTTGCTATTCTCGTCGAGCGACACTCGACACAATCTACCAACGGATATACAACCCACGCTCTTTCGATCCCTCATTGAGATCACCACCAACTCAATCCGCACAGTCGATCACTTCGCAGGCGGAGAACGACGAATGTGTGAGATTGATTCCATCCCAGGTCGCTCATTCAATTGATTCGGCCGCCGACGTGCCAACCACCGGCCATCCACCGTCGTTCGGCATTCCTCGACCCCTTCAGTTCTAGCCAGGTGCTCTTATCGTCCTGGCCGTGCCAGTTTCTTTCGATTTTAATTTCGACGTACATTCACAATGGGTTGTTCAGGGAGAGTAAAGGAGGACGACATCCGACCCGAGCAGAAATGGGAGTTCATCGCAAGTCTCCCGTCCCGTCTCCCATCTATCTTGGCCAATGCTAACTCTTCTTCGCAGAGTCTCAATGATTTCCACTCAACATCGTGCCTCAACCCCTTCGCATACGGTTACCTCTGGCTCTCGCTCATAATCTCCACTGCCGTCTACGCCGTTGATACCTTCACGGCTGTCAATCTTCTGGCCTTCAATAAATGGTCTGGAGAGATCAAGCCATACATTCCCCTCGATGTCTCCAAATGGATCTTCTCCGCATGTATCATCGCTTCTTGGGTCAATCTTGGATTTGAACATCTTCGTGCGTTGAGGGTTATCAAGAGAGGTGCTGTCGCAGAGAGTTTCCTGGATTCACTGGCAGTCAGACTGCAGAGTGTCAGACTTGGAAAAGCAAGAGGTTGGAGGCGTTTCTTGGTATTCGCAGAGTTGACCAAGTCCAAGAAAGGGGCTGAATATGTAGCCCTATTCACATACTTCTCCTTCCAGTGTAAGTTTCTCAGGAGATTCTAATAGGTCGTGTACTGACAATGCCAGCCTGGATTCGGATCATTTTCTGCCAAGGACCACGACAAGTCATCAATGCTTTGACACTCTACTCCGTGTTCATAGCGAAGCTCGACCCTAACAATGCAAACGACGTTGGCTCAACGCTCCTTGGATTCTTCAAGAATATTGGCCTTCTCGCCCAGCAAGAGCATCAACAAGCTGTTATTCTATCTGGAATGACCTTCACACTCGTTATTTGGGTCTTTGGGGCATTGTCACTCTTGCTTGCCATGCTCTTCTACGTCTTTTTCCTTTGGCATTATATCCCCAACGCCGATGGAGGCCTTGCTGGATATTGTGAGCGCAAGGTCAACCGTCGATTGGCGAAGATTGTCAGTGTCAAGGTCAATAAGGCTATCGAGGAGGAAGAGCGCAAGAGATTGAAGGCGGATGCAAAGGCAGTGAAGAAGGGAGAGATGCCTGCTTTCGGACGACAAGCTACATTACCAACACTGCTCGATCAGAAGTCCGAAGACAAGCTCCCTGGAATGCCAATGCTTAACCGCAACGATACCATGATGACTCTGCCCCAGTACTCAAGCCGACCTGGAACCCCAAGTGGTCAACCTACTCTTCCTGCTTTCGAACTCGATCAATTGGATCAGAAGCGTCCTTTCCCAAATCGATCTGCCACGGGTTCCTCTGCTGTATCTGGTCAAAGTTTTGGATCAAATGCTCCATTGATGGGTAATGCATCAGACATTGGCTACGCTCGTGCTGGTTCCCCTGCACCATCTCTCCCACCTCTGGACACAAATGGCTTCCCAGCAGCACCTCAACGCACAATGACAGCCAATTCACAAAACAGTAACTGGAGCCGCGGCCCTCAGCCACCCCGAATGCCGTCTGCAATGGGTGACCGAGGCTACACCCAGAGTCCAGTCTCCTACACCGACAACTACAGTCCCCGCTCCCAACCCAGCATGGACAACTTCGGCCGTCCCATGCCACGACAAGTCGAGGACCTGCGGTCCAACAGCATGTCAAACCAAGGTCCTCCCGGTCGCCGCCCCACCTTCGACCAAAACTACCCCGGCGGACGCTCCAGCCCATTACCCGGTTCAGACTACGGCCGGAACTCGCCTGCTCCAAGTCAAGGCCGTGGCCCAACAAGCCCCACGAACAGCAACGGCGGCTACCAATCCTACAACCCTGGTAACCGCTCAGCATCCTCCGCTTCCCTCGCGAATCCCAACTTTCCTCAACGTCAACCGCAGTACAGAAATATGACGGACCCGGGACCACGGGGTCAGCCTGAGGGAGGAGATTACTTTGGTAATGCGAACGCGCCGCCGATGCCGAGACCGGGAACGGGACAGAGTAATAGGAGTGCGGGCGGCAGTGGCTCTGGCCCGAGTATCGCGAGGTTAGCGAGCCCAGCGCCGTATAATGGGGGCGGGAGGCAGAGTCCGGGTTTCCCGAGTCCGATGTATCGAAGATAGATGAGGGGAGAGGGAGGGGATTGTATATTACGAAGATGAAGATGGAAAGTAGGGGAGGATTTCACGAATGATGAAGCGAATCAGCCAGCAAGTGCATAATTGTATTTCCCTTTTTTTTTTTTTGAGGCGGGGATCTGTATTTACGGAGAGCTCGTGGGTGCCAACTGCGCTAGCTAGACTTGCAGGACCTTGAGTGCACATGATAGATTTTGAGGGTCCACCTTAGTGGGTACTTCCAGGAATGATATGGCGTTAGATACCTCGATGTTTACTCTCCAGCTGCTTGGGCGCGGTTGCTCTTCGCGATTGGGTACCTTGCTGTGCTATTTCTTAATATCGGCGCGTGCTGGTCTCGAAGAATGCTGGTCTCAAAGGGTGAGTGGTACGTTGGCAAAAACGCAAGCTTGAGGAGGGACAGCAAAGTTGATTCGTTGGTAGGACGCTGGAGGCAGGGTGTGGTCACGTGACCCCCTATCTCAGCCTTTCGGTTCTGAATTGAATGGCGTGCCAAGATTTCGGTCTATGAGCTCCACATGAGAAGAAAACCAAGATCTTAAAATCAAGGCACTTTATCTTCTCTTTCGGAAACACCCAGCGCAGATTATAATAATGCCTTCCCCTTCTAGCCCACAGACATATTCATTAAATAGATAGTGGGTTCCTATATATTTACTACATCTCCTCTAGTATGAAAGACAGGGTTTCAATAAGCAGGATAACAAAATTATAGAAAGATAAATAGATTATCTAAGTATTTATACATTAGTCAACCGTAAAGCTCCTAGCCTGAGGAATTTTGCTATTATGGATGATCAATGTCGCGTAAGATCCCCTGCGTATATTTCAAACATTCGCGCAGCAAAATAGACAGGAACCCCTGTCGGCAATATATTTGGTGGAACGAACGAAGACATATCTCAGGAGGATGGCTTTACTTTAACAACCCCACCTCATGATTAAGCGGCTTTAGCCTCAAAGCCGCCCTCAAAAAATCCTCATCATCTTCCTCCAAATCTCACCCATATTCGGGTTTTCTACTTCACAACTAGGTTGATCACACAACTCGTCATTTACTCGAGCCATTGAAAGAAGCAGGTTCGCGTCCGCAGGCCGCAATGTCCCTCTCGGCAATCCTCTGCCTCTACTGCTCAGGGGTAAACGGCAACAAGTCTTCAACCTCCAAACCAGCGCGCGCTCCAACGCCTGCTCTCTCCGAAACCTTCGATTTCGTGTTCGCAGACGCGCCTTTCATCCGACCAGCAGGCGATGGCGTACTCCCGTTCTTCGACGGCTGCGAACAACTTCTTCCGCTGGAAGAGCAGGTCTGACGATAATGTGTTTACTCACGAGGAGCTGGAGAGTGAGGTTAGAGATTTGGTTGAGAAGATGTTGAAGAGTAGGGATTATTGGGTGGGGATTTTGGGTTTAGTCAGGGTGGGCGGTTGGCTGCTGGACTCTTGGCGGAGCAGGAGAGGAGGGGGGAGGAGGAGGGAGGAGGTGGAGGAGGGAGAAGGTGATGGGGAGGGGTTTAAGTTTGGCGTGTTTTTGATGACGACCAGCCCGCCGATGACCGAGTTAGGTATGAGGAAGGTAGGGTGGGGAGATTCAGATTCCGAGTGTCAATGTTCTGGGGAAGCAGGATAAGTGGTATGAGTCGGGTAAGACGATGCATAAGGAGTATTTTGAGGAGGAGAGCGCAGTGTGGGCTCCGATAAATTATCGATCGAAATTATCGATTAGTAATCGTTATCGGCTAAGCGATCTCTTTCGGCATTACCCCGAGCAAATTACCGACCCGGGTGAAAATAGCTGCTATTAATAGCTATAGCTAGCAAATAG